TTGCAGTATTAAAAATTCTGAAAAAATTCTTAGAATTCTATGAGAAGAAAATAAATAACTTTTGTTTCTTGCAGCTTTTCTATAAAGTTGATAGTATTTGAATAAAAAATTATTCAAAAGCAATATTTGGCAATTTTTAATAATTAATATCTTGCGAAAATTGCAAAATAGTAGAGGACTTTTCGACTTAATTTAGTCCGCCCTATTTACACAAAAGTGATTGGCAAAAACTTCCGGGATATCCTGTATATATATATATATGTATATATAAAATTTATAGTATTTTAGAAACAAATTTCTTCTTTCTCTATCTCTCTTTTTTTCTTTTTCTAAAGACGATAATAGAATTGACACTCATAATTTTTTCTAGATTCTTCAACATAGAATTACAGCTTTTTAATTCAAGAATTACAACTTTTTAATTAATTATGCTGCAATAACACAATATAATAGCTGCTATTAAAGAAATATTTTAGCCATTTAAATAATCGATTTGTTAGTTTTAACATTAAACTTTGTACATTATTTTGTCAAAGTATTTTGTGACAAATGCTTACACATCAGGAAAAGGAAATCTAAATGTATCATCGCAAAATTAGAAGCTTGTGGCATTTTTTGCACTTGTCAAAAGTAACTCTTCTCGTACTTAAAAAAAAAACGCAAAGAATACTTGGGGCATCTCTATTGCAGCACAATATTTAAATTGTTCTATAAGTGTCCAAATACGTGCTTTTCCTTTTTATATAAATAATTGCACATCTTTTGTTGTGAATTTTTTGCAAATTAAACTATTGATGATTTTTTTTATGACATTTTTTGGATGCACTATTACACCCTTATGAAAAAATACTATTGGATTCGCGGAAGAACGAAATATTTAAAAAAACTATTCGAATCGAATAAGTATTGTACACTATTCATTTCAATAGTTTTTTTTTCACTAATTCAATGGTATTTCTTCACAAGGGTATATTAATTATAGGCTGTCATACACAAAGCAACACAAAACAAATTAAATCTATTCTACAATTGCGTAAACGTAGTTGTAGTTGCAAGTACCTATTGATGATTCAATCATTGTCGAATATTCTCTTCATGTTCGACTGTGATTAGTAAATTCTTACAACTACAATCACAACTACGCCACGCAATTGTAGAATGGACTTTATGCATGTATTGTATAAAATGCTCAGCACGAATTATCACATAGTTTGGCGGGATATCTGTCAAACGTTTCCTTGGTCAACAAGACGCTTATACTTTAAAACTTTTGCAATCAGATAAGTTTGTGTACAACAGCCTTTGTCGTTTGCACTCCAGCATGCACTAACAGCATCAGATTCGTTATCGGATGCACAAGAGACGGAGGCGAACGTCGTCGCCGATATCACCCGCGTGAGAGATTCATCGAATCAACACCACTGAACGCAATGCCAATTCCCACGCTTTCGCCGACATCTACAAGAGACCGAACGACGGAACCTCCGCGTGTTCCGTTCGGAAAGAAAAAAACGTGCGGGAGAATCTTAGTGAAATGACGTGAAACTCGGAGCTTCCTCTCGCCGAGGAAGTTTCGGATTTGTACGCTTGGAAGCGATGCGTGACGGCCGACGAAGATCGAAAAGTACCGTCGGTCGCTGAGCCCCGACGAGGATTTCGGCGCGTGTGCCACGAACATTTTTCCGCCGTCGATTTTTCCCCGCCCTTTTGTCAGCGGGTAGGTGGAGCCGAACGGACGACCGCCCCGAGTCGAGCGATCGCACGGTATTGCGCGTAGCGGCCGCCACAATGTCGGGCGTCAACACGCACACAAATTTCTACTGACAAACA